TGGACAACAAACGAAGAGGAGTGGCTGCTTCCGTGCTCCAGTGACCCTCGATCTCCAAGGGGACCATGACGAGGCGGGCACGTCCTCCTCCCACCAGCCCCGGGCCGCTCCGGGTAGGTCCTTTCTTTTGCGAGCCGTGCCAGGCGCATTGCGGCTCCAGCTGTGTGTCGTTGGTGGCGACGGGTTGGGCTTGTGCTGTGAGTGGAGAGACAAGCGTGGTGTCGATGCTTCTGTGGCTTTTGGCTTTCGTGGCTTTCGTGGCTTCTGTGGCTTTTGTGGCTTTTGGTTTTCGTGGTTTCTGTGGCTTTTGGCTTTGGTGACTTTCAATCTACATTTCATCCCCGACACCCGCGCCTGCCACGAAATCAATATTTTAAGGTGAACTCCCCGGTGCAAAACTTTCTAACCAAGCAAAGATGCCTCCTCTATCTATCTATCTATCTTATCTTATCTAAATCTAATTAATCTAATCTAATCTATTCTATCTATCTATCTATCTATCTATCAATTTATCTTTCTATCTTTCTATCTTTCTGCAGTTCAACATCCACAAAGTACTGCACCTGCCACGAATCTGCACTTCAAGGTCCACAAAGTCTTGCGCCTGCCACGAAATCTGCACTCCAACGCCCACAAAGTCCTGCACCTGCCACCAACTCGACTCTACACTTCCACACCCACAAAGTCCTGCATCTGCCACGAAATCTGCACTTCAAGGTCCACAAAGTCCTGCGCCTGCCACAAAATCTGCACTCCAAGGGCCACAAAGTACTACACCTGCCACGAAATCTGCACTTCAAGGCCCACAAAAAGTCCTGCGCCTGCCACAAACTCTGCACTCCAAGGCCCACAAAGTCCTGCACCTGCCACGAAATGTGCTTTGCAAGGTCCACAAAGTACTGCACCTGCCACGAAACACGAAAAACAAAAAAAATCCAAAAAAAAAAAAACGAAAAAAAACAGAAATATATTCGCAACCATTTTTTACTAAGAGGAGAAAGAGTGTAGGCGGGCTATATAGAAACATCAGCTGAGCTGGCCATGGCAAGCTGTGCTGAGGAAGAGTGAATTCTTAGAGGAGAAAGAGTTTGAGTTAAAGCCTTTGAGTACCAACATAGATCAACCGACAGATTTTCAGTCCTTGCCATCAAAGCTCGTTCCGATGCTTGTGCAGATTCTGAAACATTCAACATGACAGGGCTTGGCTTGCTCAAAGGCGGTCATCGGCAGGAGGGCCCAAGTCAGAGTCCAGATGATTTCAATCTGAAATATAGATTACAGTACTGTATATGTATGAGACACACTTGCCCCCAAAACCTGGATGAAGCCTTCTTAAGCGAACTTGCTTTTTCAATAGCACCAACTGTAAAATTCACCCGCAGTGCCCAGGTTTTTTGCTGTGCCGTACACGGTGAATGGCTATGAATGGCTCAAACTTGAAAAAGAGGCAAGGCCACTTCCTCAGTCTCAGAAACATTTTCTACTGCCGATTCAGCGATGCAGAAGAACAAGGATCGTGTTCGTTCCATTGCAGTGTGCCCTGCATGGACTCGAGGACAGGAGAACAAAAGGTGACCTTTGGACTTTGTTTCTTGTACTGGACCGACGGGACCGTTTCCAAGACGCATTGCTTTGTTTCGTTTCCGTTGGTTTGTTTCGTTCGTCATGCTTGTTTCCTTGAAACCTCGTAGAGTGAACTCGGGTCAGGCTGTCCCGCCGCCCATCTTCTCTGGTGTCGACATGCCATGGACCAAGCATATTTGGTAGCATGCAGCATGTGCAATGAATGCGGACCGAGGTCCAATGAGAAGCTCAACAAGCTCGAAGAAATGTCGGGCTCCTACAATCACTGGTCAGATGAGACATCACATGTGTATCCCCCTTGGAATAAGCTCTACAGAATGATGGCCTTACGGCCCCTAAATCAGCAGGTCATTTTGTAGAGAACACTCTTCTGCCCTCACACCCTATCATTTCGTAGAGACCTGGCCCAGCATTTTGTAGAGAATTGCGTTTGACGTTTTTTGACGTGGGCAATGCCCATCATTTTGTAGAAACATATTTTCTGCTACTGGCACTTTGTAGAGAGAGTCTTTGATTTGAGCATGTGCATTTTGTAGAGAAAATAAACAATATGAGCACCCAGTAGAGAGAGAGAAAACACATGTTGTAGAGGTTTGTCATTCAATCAACATCATTTTGTAGAGAATGTGATGTCATTTTGTAGAGATGTGGAATGCGTTTTGATGCATTTTGTAGAGATGTGGAAAAGGCATTTTGTAGAGAATTGTTGCGCAATGCATTTTGTAGAGATCTCAGTCGAGTGTTGAAGTAGCATTTTGTAGAGAAGGTTGTCAAAACACCTGATCTCATTTTGTAGAGATTTTTGGGTCATTCGGGTCGAATCATCCTGTCCATATATGTGTATATAAATGCATACAGTATGTTTTGGGAAATGACTCCCTTGATTTGGGAAACGTATGGAAAAGTATAGGAGATCCCAAATTTTGATTAATGTCGATTATATAATTATGTAGAAACAATAACGCGAACCATTTTCTACAAAATGACGTCGAGGCCCGGGAGGTGCCATTTTGTAGAGCCAAGAAGTGTTTCTCTACAAAATGACGGGCACACCACCATTTTGTAGACTATTCAGATGCAGTAGTCAGGGGTCATTTTGTAAACACGAGTGTCGAGTAGTCGGGGGTCATTTTGTAGAGATTTTAGATTCATTCGACCCAAAAGGACTAGGGACATTTTGTAGACATTCGAATTTCATTTCGACCTCATTTTGTAGAGAGTCATTTTGTAGAGTCATGTTGCTACAACAGAGTCATTTTGTAAACAAAGTCATCTACAACAATGACCTCAAGGCCCTCATTTTGTAGAGAATTGTTGTTTCACAAAGAGTGAACATTCTCTACAACATGACGTCGGGGCCCGTCATTTTGTAGAGAGGCTGAGCCCAATTTTTGGGGGTCATTTTGTGGAGGTAGTTATTTTGTAGAGAGTCGACGGGGTGTTCTCTACAGAATGAGGGCCTCCACCCCTCCCCCTGTATT